ATATAGCATTCCTCTGGCCTCGATTTCCTTACTCAATGCAAACAGTCAAATTTGCACAAGGCAATGAGGCACAAGGTAAGGGCACAAGGCAATGAGGATTAAGCCAAGTCACCTTTAAGTTCCTTTCCTTTCTATTATTTGGTGGTGTGGCTCCCATGAGCCCCCACAACAGCATTCTACCTGGGTGTGCTTTCTTGAGGAAAAGCCACACACTTCAAAGCTGCTCTTCTCATAGCCTGGTCCATGCCAGCTGTGGCATACTTGACCTTCCCAAACCCCTGGACCTGACTCTGCCTTCCAAGATGACAGATAACGTATTAAACGTACCACTGTTAAGAAAGGTGGATTTTACCTAGTTTGCAGGAGGAAGCATAGAACTTGGAGTCAAATAAACCCAAATAATGATCTGGCTTTGTCAAACTAATATGGGAATTTTGAGCAAGGTACTAGACATTTCTGAGGATCGGTTTTTCATCTCTAATGTATCTAATAATACCTACCTTGTTGGAAGGAAGACTGAATGGATACAATTCTTGGAAAGCATGTAGCACTTTGCCTGGGACATGATGTGGGCTCAACAAACATAGTCTCCTTTATTTTCTCAGTTGGGTCACACGGATTCTTATTAACAACCAACCAACAATCAATTACATCCTGAAAATTCTATCCTATCCTCAAGGCAATAACTATGATAATGAGAGATAATGGTCAGGGCAGTTAGCACAGTATTAAGCAGATGTGGAACTCTTAAAACAGATGATCACCAACCATCATCATCATCATCATCATCATCATCTGAATTGTTGGCCTGTATAAACATTGTCTAAATTAATTCAGTATCAGTTTACTTCTCAAGACGCATTGCTTCTTGAATATTCTGACAGGTGGTCTAACTGACTTTTTTTTTTTTTAACGAACAAAACCTATAATTTAATAAACCTCAACAAATTAGGGAAGGACTTGACTCAAGTTGCACACCTTCTTTTTAAGAATGTGTGAATTCCGTGGGGGTGAGGTGCAAAAGCTGGTGTTTGAAAAACAAATTAAAAATAGGTCTTTAAGAAATTAAAATCTGTGTCTTTTGGCATTGCTAAAATGTGGAAAATGCATTTGCAGTATTTGAAACCAGTGGCCGGATTGAAAGCCACACTACCTGAATGCAGGCTGACTTCAGTATCCCTGAAAGCCACCCACAGCTTCAGACATTGTTTTCTAAATGCATGTGCTTAGAGTTTTGTTAGCCCCAAAATTAGGCATAATAAAAAAGTTATAGGGAAACTAGTCCAATGAAGGATCTTAGGATTGTAGGATTTTAGAACTGGAAAGTATCTTGGAGATAGTCTAGGGCAAACTCCAAATTTTGCAGATGAAAATACTTAAGCCCCTGAGAGGTCTTAAAATCACCTAGTAACTTCTCCTTTGGTGGCAAAAGAGAGTCTCATTACATCTTTTGGTGTTAACATAGGACTTTCTGAATGAGCAGATTTGTGCACAATAGCAAGAGGAAAATGGCAGAAAGTTGTCTTTGTGGGCTTTATCACTTGATGAAGAAAGAGAAGCAATATGTCCCTGGGGAATCAAGTGTTCTTTCACTGACTCTTTCAAAGGTAAGTAAATTACCTTTGCAAGGCACTATCCACGGACTGACAATGACCTTTTCCTATAACCCTCGCAGAAGGCTGAAACATGTCAAATTAAATCAAAACAAAACCTGAGTTTCACACATATATCATATGCAGAATACAGGCAATGCAATTTGTTTACAAGGAGGTCTTTCTAGTACTTCTGAGGCAAATTCTGTTCACCCTGGCCAGGTTCAGATACATTTGCAAATTGTTTGCAAGTAATTTGCATAATCCTAGAGAGAAGAAAAAAAAATGATTCTACCTGTAGAGTCTTCATTTCAATTTATTAGATTTTTTAGTTCCCACCATCCTCCCCACCCTCCACGTCTTTCCTCCTTTCAATGACAGAGCTCTACTCTGCCAGAGAAGTAAGCCAGAGGCAAGTGAAAAGTTCTGAATTAGAACAGATGCCTGAGGACAGTTTTTCAAAATGAATTCCATGGGCTGTTAATAAGTGCTATCTGAAAAAAAAAATTAAGTGCTTGCACAACATTGCATTAGTTCAATTTAAATAGGATTCTTCACTAAAATGCTTGTTAGTGCCTTTTATATGCTAAAGATTGTGAATATTTTGAGACAGTTGTGTAGATATATAATTTTCAGTACTTTCTTATTTGATCTTTTTCCCTCAAATTCTGCTTCACTAACCCTGTGCTATAGCATAAGTAACCAAAGAGCAGTTCAAGTTATAGCTTGCAAAGACCTAGCTGCATGAAACGCCACAGGGAGAAAAATGAAAGTCATCTATTCCTAGAGTAGATTTTTCTTCTTGACTACCCAAAGGCTATTCCCTACACAGGTAAAATCAGGGTATGGTTCTTGGCCAAATGCAAAGCAGGGATATTATAGGGAAAAGTGTTCTCCTGAATATAGAATCAGGCAACAGAAGGTAAAGCTGGAAGGGCTATGCGAAGACTCCTTTCATGACCAACGTGTAAAATTTTAGAAGTGAAGCTTCCTTCATTAAAGATGTAGTGAGAATAAGGAATATTGGAGTTGGCTGAGTCTCAGACCCCTCTTGCCTCTTCCCCACCTCTAGTAAGTGCTCAGGAATTCCTCAAGATCTGGGGCCTCTGTGGTATGGTTGAGAACAGCAAATTCTTATATGTATATGTTATAACTCCCTCATTTTTAAGGGTGTAAGAGAGGTGGTAAGTTGTTATTTACCAAAACATGAACTTTCATAGAAGCTGTGTTGTTAAATAGAAAACTTTCTTGGTTTGATGAACACTCTGATGGGACTAGCGGAGTCTTAGGGCCAGAAGAGAGGTGAATAATTTGGCAAAATAATCTAGAGTGTGGCATCTCCAAGACAATGTAGGGGTAGGGGAAGAAAAGAGATGAGAAAAAGATAAGGAGAAGCAAGTGGAAGAGAAGTTTCAGCCGTAAGACCCAAGGATGGGGTCCAAGTCATACAGATGTCTCTGGGGTGAGATATCCCAGACCAGAATATTTGTACTTACAGACAATTCTAAAATGCAATTTTAAATTATCTGTATTATCATAATTATAAAACCTACCCTGTTGCCTCAAATCCTCAATAAAGCCTAAAAATCATTGTGGAAATTGAGCAAGAAGGGAGTTTCATATCTCCGGTTCTACAGGGACATGGACAAGCCACGTAGGACAATCAAATCCATCACTTTATGGAAAATGATGTAATGCAGAAGCAGAAAGGGCTCATACTGTATACATAACCCTAACGGAAGCCTCCCCAGCTCCTCCCTAAATCCCCGTGTCTTTGTCTTCTGATTCTGTAAATGTCTGCATTACTCGTTATACTTTTCAAGGAGAAACTTTATCCCTAACTCTTTTCTCCCATCATACCTCATAGCCAAACTCTCATCACAGAATCCTAATTTTTATTGTGGCATACCATCTCCTTCTGGGGTTTCTCCCTTCCTTAGTGTAGCTTGCATCACCATGCCAAAACAGTTCTAAGCACCTCCTCACTGTCCACTCTCTCCAGTCCTCTGCCTCCATGCTACACCAGTTATCTATCAAAAATGTAGATCTAGTCAAATCACTATGACATTAAATGCCATTATCTACCTCCCTAATGTTCACAGGATGAGATCTTTACTTTAGCCTGGCTCAACGCTTTCTTGCAAATGTGCTCCCGCTCCACTGCAAGCATCATCTACCATTCCCTACCCCCCGTGCCATACTTTAAGGCCATCCATATCATTTCATCTCCTAACCTTTCCCCCTCATCTCCTTGTCTTTCCCTGCAAAGACCTGGAGCAAAATATCCATCCTCTATCTCCTCACCCCAATTCAAAATATCAACTAAAGTTAAAGATAAAAGTCTGATCAGAATTACATTTTACCTTCAGACAATACTTGCACTGCTTAATACTTGAACTCAAAAGAATAAATGATATGTGCAATTCTGCACGTTGTATCACACTCATGGGAAAGAGCTAGAGATCTTTGGTGATTGCTCACATTGTATACTTACAAGTAATCACCACTCCAACATATGTGGCTGGGCTTGACAAATGGAATACCCATACTCTGGAGGGTGATCCTTGCTTCTGGTATAGAGCAAGGAATAGAACAGAGAGTGAGAAGAATGGATTTTGCACCTTTGTTTCCTCATTCATTGTCCAACTGGCCTTAAGCAAAACATTTCACGTCTCTGAACCTCAATTTTTATCTGTAAGACAACTTCTCGGGTTTGCTGTGCAGATCAAATGGAATTAGATTTATATCTAATTCCTGCACAGGAATTAGATATAAAAAGAGTCTGTGAATGGGAGAGAAAAGGCTTTGTAATAAAGTGCTATACAAATGTGAAAAGGAGCGTTATGAAAAGATAACTAGACATGGAGTCAAAATGCATGGTGTTACGTGTTGTTCTGTGTCCTAGAAAAAAAATGGGTTGAAGTCTTAATCCCCTGTACCCATTACTACAGCCCATTTCGAAGTAGGGTGTCGGCAGACATAATAAGATGATATCATTAGAGTGGGCCCTAATGCAATATGACTGGCCTTATGAGAAGACGAAAGAGACACACATGGGGAGAATACCCCGTGAAGATACTGGAATGATGAATCTACCTACAAGCTAAGGAACACCAAGGATTGTCAACCATCACCAGAGTTCAAGGGAAGGCATGGAAAAGATTCTCCCTCAAAGCCGTCAGAAGGAGTGGGCCTTGCTGACACCTTGATTTCAGACTTTTAGTCTCTGAAACTGGGGAGACAGCAAGTTTCTCCTGTTTTAAGCCACCCAGTTTGTGCTATGTTGTGCGACAACCCTAGGAAACTAATAATACACGTGAGTATAAATTTTAGCTCTGTCAGTTACCGGCTTTAAGAATGTGTGTTAAATTCCTTAAGCTTTTCCTCTGATACCTGAAGGACACTTACCTTTCTGTGATAGTTTCTCTGAGGCCACTGGCCACTCCTTTGACCACAGTGCTAGCTTTGGGGGTCAGCACCACCTGAGATATAAAAAACGAGCCCTTCTTTCTTCTCTCCGTGATGGATGCCTGAAGAAACTGGATCAGTTTTTCCGGGTCTGTGGTGTTGGCCCAGGGTGCTGGCATCATCTGCCCGGGCCAGAGAAAGGGCACTTCCAGAGCCACCGGACTGTGGTAGAAGACCAGTACTTGATAGTCTTTCTCCCACAGGTACTTCAGACTAACTTCCTGGGCAAAAATCGCTGGGCACATCTTGTTTCCATAGATGTCTTTCAGCATTTGGACCAGTTTTTCATGGTGATATTTCTGCATCCCATAAAAATGGTTGAAGTCCAAGAATACCACCTCCTTATGGTGATCTGTGAGGAATGCATTAATCTCCTCAAGGCCTTCATTGACTTTGGCACTGAACAAGCCATGAGCAAAGTAGAGTTCATTGTCGGGGTCTCTGGGCTTGGTGGAAATTCGAAGATCAAAATAACGGATCCCAGCTCCTAGCTGACCACTAAAGTTCATTGTTTGAGTGGCTAACCATTTCCGCATCAGCTTTTTGGCTACAGTTCCAAACACAGAAACAAAATTCTGGACGGTTTCTGGCTGTTCGGGCCCTACTGGTGAGGCTTCATCAATGTAGAAGCTGAAGGAATCGTGAGATCCTAGAAAAATAACAAGGCATAATGTGGTTATAGTTCAGTCCTTTGTTCTTCCCAACTTCTTTCCCTCTTGCAAAGTCCATCTCTCTCCCTTAAATGAATGAAAGGAAATAATGAGCAATATTTGCTTAGTTCAATCTCAGGTCTTAGGAGGGTCCTTTTTATAGCCTATATAGCATGCATAGCACATCAACAGATCTGATTATAACATGATGTTCAAATTTCTTCTGATCCATATTATGAATAAAAACGATCACCTTCTACTTTTGTAAACAAAGAATTTACTGTACGCATTAGGATTGTCTTTCCATACAGGTGGCGTAAGTGACCATTTATAACGTGGAATTTATGGGGATTCACTGGTTCCCAAATACTTTGTCTACTATCTTGCCCTCTCCCTCCATTTTTTTTAAAATTTTTTAAAAAGATTTTATTTATTTATTTGACAGAGAGAGAGAGAGAGAGAATGGAAAATCATAAGTAGGTAGAGAGGCAGCAGAGAGAGAGGGGGAAGCAAGTTCCCTGCTGAGCAGAGATCCCGATGTAGGGCTCAATCCCAGGACCCTGAGATCACAACCTGAGCCAAAGGCAGAGGCTTAACCCACTGGCCACCCAGGCGTCCTGCTCTCCCTCCATTTTGAGTTGATTTTAACGGTAGATAACTTGTTTCAATGAATGGGCACTTGATCAACATATGAATTGCTACCTCATATTTTCTGGAAAGCACAAGAGGTCCCTATAGAGAAAGGGAGAAATAAGCAAGAGGACAGATAGTACGATGTTGATATATTTAACATCACTCCTGACCCTGCATTTGAGCAACTATGAACTCAGATAAGGCTAAGTACTTTTCACATATTGAATAAACAATTTTTCTTAGAGGTTAACAAAATGAACAGCATTAAAAAAATTAACTGACAGACTATTTTCTTTACAAATATTTCCTCTCAACAGTGAAAGCTCTCTTTGGAGTTGGCTTCCAAATTTGGAAGAATTTCTTCTAGGAAGAACGAGGTCAGCCTATTTAATTATGATTATTATTTTTTTTTTGTCTTTTACAAATACCAGAACTCCAGAAATGTAGCACCAAATGTGCATGATTTGCCAGTAAATATAGAAGGCCATTTAAAATACTGTTGGACCTATGAAGAAAAATTATTTCAAGTTTTAATTTTATTTTTTAAAGTCTCCTTTAATTCTTGGGCACAACCTACTGAACAGGTAAAATGAAATTAATGTATCCTGAATTTTTCACACATTAGTAAGGGTAGATGTCATCATGCCCCATCTGTTACTCAGGCTTCCTCCGACCATGTTGTCTTACTCCCGATTTAGTTCTCTCGAAATGAAAAAACACACACCTGGTTCCAGTTCCTACATTCCTCCCAGCCAACACACACACACACACACACACACACACACACACACACACACACACACACTCCCCTTTCCCTTTAGCATCCAGGGCCTTTGCCTGATAAGCTATTTGAAGCCATTTCTCCCTCCACCCCGCAGTGATGCAATATTTATCTTTGTCTATATTCCATATCGACATCAATTTCTATCTCTCTATGTACATCTAACTGTCTATGTCGAACATTAAACAGCCAAGAGGAAACACAAGATAATGAACTTCAGACACCTCTGTAAGTTGTTAGAGAAAATGTTTTGAAAAATACTTTAATACCTTAAAAATGATAACCTTTAAGATTTGGAACAGCTAACTCCTCGGAATTATTAGATTTTTTTAAACAATGAAAAGTAACCCCAAAATACAGAAATGCCATGTTTAATTTAATCTGGTACTATCTGATCTATTTATCTTTAGTACATGGTATGGGGAGAAAATGTCAGCACTTTCTGAATAAGCAGAACTGACAGTTGGGATCTGGCATTGGCAAATTTTAACAGGGATTTAAATTGCTGCTTATCGATTTATTAGTTGCTGTTCAGCCAATTGCTAATATAAATGAAAAAGCTGAACAAACTGTACTGTGGATCAATATACAGAAAAAATAGGTTTAAAGAAAGAAAGAAAAAGGAGAGTTTAAGAAGAGCTATAATTAAATGTCCTAGGATTAAAATAGGTACAAATGAATAAATAAACCTTCAAAATAAGGGTTAATTTATAAAATTAAAAAAAAAATGAAGTTAATTTCCAAGCACATGAAAAAAAAGGTGGATGAGAACAATTGTTTACCTCCATAACCTAGTAGAAGACATGACTGGAAGAAAGCAGAAAGGGAATGAAATATGACTAGGTTTCTTTTTCCAGAAATGAGTGGCTCTTTATTTTCAGTATGACTTTAGTTTCACTGTTCTGACATGTGGCTATCTGGCAAATTGGAAAAAAAAAAAAAAAAAACCCTAGGAAATTCACCAATTTTGAAAATCCTATAAAAGAACATTAGTCTCTAGTTAAATTATTTGTTGACATTTCAGGAAAATATAAGATCAAAATAAGGCAATGTTAAAAGAAAAATTAGAAACAGCTGTCAGTAGAAACCATTGGTGCCCCCACTAATATTTGTTCTAAGCTAGAAGAGTCTGAGGTCCATGTCCAGCATTTGGTGCAGAATGAGGCACCAGATGCAAGCATTACTTGGAGGGAAGAATTAAATCTTCAATCAATACAAAACACTATCTTTGCATTTGGGGAGAAAATACGTAATCTAATGTTGGCCAAAAAAGAAATATCTTCAGGGCTTTTGATTTCATTTGGACTAGTAATTCCTCCCCAATTTCAACACTTTCACTAAACTATAAAATTTTCTATTTGTTTGAATATAAAACAAAAATACAATGGTATTTTAGGACTTTCAATAACAGAAGAAAAGTCTGGCCCCACCCTGGTTCTTTAAAATCAGAGAGCCCTGACCACAAGAGTGCTAAGCATTATTTCTTTGTTCTCAGCTATCTCCACAACCTTTCTGCCTTATCTGGTCTAATATTTTGCATCTATACTGGTTCAATATTCCTGGACTCCTCACCTCTTACTTTTTCTTGTCTATAGCCCCAAACTCTTATCCTGGACTTGATGCTTAATGTTGCCCTGGACTTGATACTTAATGTTGCCACCCTGATTCTAAACTTAGCCTCTCAATTTTAGGTTTGATTTGCCTTCTCCACTCTGAGAAGAGGTGGCCACTCCTACTTTGAACCCATAATAATCAAGTTCATTTGCTCTGGCTCTGAATAAGTTAATGGAGTGGAAGAGGTCATTTTTCATTTCTTTGAAACAAGCACTTTTGTTATTTTCTCCTCAGCCTGCTAAATCATTCCTTCATTCAGGCAGTAGACATGCTTCTAAAATAGACCCCAACAATCCGTGCACTCTGGCATTCATTACCCTCCCCCTTAACCCCCACAGTAGGGGCCCAATCTGGTGACTTGTTTCTAATGAATTAAATAACACAAACATGATGGGATACCACATCTGAGATTAGGTAACAAAAGTTGTGACTTCCATTTTGCTACTCTCTCCCATGCTTACTTTGATGAAGCACAACACCATGTTGGAGAGGCCCATGTGTCAACGAACTGGGAATGGGTCCTGCCAATGGCAAGCTAGGAAATGCGGCCTTCAATCTAATAGCCCTCAAGGATTGGAATCCTGTCAATAGCCAATGGCTAAGCTTGGAAGCACATCCTGCCTGCCCTGCAAGGATCCTGCCTTGTGAGACACCCTAAAGCAGAGAATACTGTTAAGTTTTGCCTGGATTCCTGACCCATAGAATCTACATTATTTTAAGTGATTAAGTTTTGGGATAAATTGTTACACAGCAACAGTTAACTAATACAGGCTATAACAACTCTTTTGCATCAACAACGGGATTTGAGTTGGGTCTATAGACCCAACTGCCTAATATAAGAACTTGGAACTTTACTACATATGTGGTGAGCATAGCATAACATACAGAGTTAAATCACTATATTGTACACCTGAAACTAATGTAACATTGTGTCAACTATACTCAAAATGAATGAATGAATAAATAAATAAATACTTGAAATTTCAATGAAGGTAAATTAATTAAAAATGTTCATGTGCAGGGGCTCCTGGATGGCTCAATCATTGAAGTGTCTGACTCTTGATTTGGGTTCAGGTCATGATCTCAGAGTCATTAGATCAAGCCCAGAGTCAGGCTCCATGCTGGACATGGAGTCTGCTTTGGATTCTCTCTCTTCCTCTCCCTCTGCCCCTTCCTATCCCCCACCCCCTGCTCATGCTCTCTCTCTTTAAAAAAACAGTTCATGTTGCATCTTTCTATACTTGAAAACAAGGCATCAGATAAGAGAATGAAAGAAACAGAGTTGGTTTCAAGAAGAGAAGATCTTCTTGAATGTACAAATGGAGTTATTTCATTCTGCATACTGTCATGAATGATCTTTGATGTCATCTGGTCAAACCAACTAGCATGCAACATCCATTTTATTAACTAAAAAATGTAAGAAATATGTATGATAATCTCATTTTATGGTCTCCAGTAGCATTGGACTCAGCTTCTCATCCTATCATGTCATGTGGTAGGAAAAATTCTAAGATGGCCCCCAAAACATCCACACTCTGAGTACAGATGCCCTGTTTAATTCCCTTCCCCTTGAGTATCATGTATATGATGGGGTATCATTCTAATGATTATGCTCTAGTATACAGAAAGGGAAAATTTCCTCAGATTAATCAATTGGCTTTGAGTTAACCAAAGAGAGATTATCCTATCCTGGGTGGGCCTGACCTAAGCAGGTAAACCCATAAAACAGAAACAACAAGCAGCAAGAGGGTTCTGTCTGTTTTTGAAAAACAATACAGTGCTATAGAGAGGGTCATATAGTCTTTGATGGGATTAATACCAAAGTGGTATGAAACTTACTTTAAGTTGAAAACATCTGAATAATCAGCAGCCACAAACAGAAACATTTATCTACATTTAAGCAGAGCTTCTGAAATACAGCTGCCAGTGACCTCTCTTGATTGAGAAAAGACTGACCCTGAGCACTAGGAA